TGTAATTTACGTTAGGAAAATAAAATCAAATTTCAAATTATCAATAAAAATTGTTAAATTTCATGAAATATAAACGAAATCATTTCATTCTTTTATTTGTAGCAAAAATTACTTTCAATGTAAATAATTTTTAAAAAATTGATTTACTTAAATTAAAACAAATTATATTAAATTTGAATCAAATAAAACTAACCAATTGCAAAATGAGCACGTTTTGGTTGATAAAATTTATCATATTTCAATATATCATCATTATCATCTATAATATTTTCCATTGCTAACTCTTCTTGATCATTTTCATTATGTGATAATTCGTTACATGGAATATTATTTGCATCCAAAGATTTTACACCAATATTATCATATGATGCATCATCACACGTGCAATCATATTTCGTATCATTATTGCTTGTAATTATTGCTTCCGACGAATTATCATCATTGTTGCTACCAAGAAATTTGCAAACACATCTTCCGAATGTTGATTCTGGAAGAAATTTAATGTGTTGATAAAAATAATAATTTCTATCAGGTTAATTCAGTTACAATAAGAGGAGTGCGGATACCTTCCGAATCGTTCCACAACATTGCTTTCTTGGTAGTCATAAGTGATTAGAAGATTTCCAAGTGACAGGCACTTTTCGTCATGTATATCAATCAATTCTCGTTTCTTGAAATATCTCTTTTTTTTTTATTTCCTCTCTTCCACTCTCCCTCTCTCTTTCTCTTTGCTTTTCTCTTTAAAAAAAAAAAAGAAAAAAAAAGAAAGAAAAAGAAAAGAAATTTAAAATGAGTATGAACAAATCATAGTAACATTTCACACGGAGCAAAATCAAACGCGTCATTAATCCGAAGGTCGAAATAAGGAATTAAATTCAAAGAAAAATGAGTCGATTCTTTTTTTTTTTCAAAAAATAAAAAAATAAAAAACGATTTCGAGCGATTCAATCAAATAAAAATTAAAATTTTTATGATGAACATATTCGTTATTTGACAAATAATTATATGAAATATTTTCAATGGCCTAATTATGCTCATGTTCGCTGAAGCAGTTTTATAATCAAGAACTATATTTCGATGGAAAAAAAATTCAAATAAAAGCAGAATTTTAAAACAGAAAAAAAAA